CCCAGGCAGCTGGCTGACTCGAGATCTGAGGTGGCCGCCCTGCAGAACAACCTCTCAGTGCAGGCTGCAGCAGCAGCAGCCCACGCAGCCGCAGCTGCTGAGGCGGCCGAGGAAGCAGCGCGTGCTCTTGCGGCGTCAGAGGCGCAGCGTGCGGGCGAAGCTGGAGAGGCTGCACGCGTGCAGGGCGCCCTGAGGGTGCAGCTGGACGAGGCGGCGGTGCAGGGTGCGGCGCTGGGCGAGGCGGCGCGGCAGGGCGAGGCGCTGCGCGTGCTGTACGCGGAGGAGCTGGCGCGCGCGAGCCGCCTGGCCGTCGAGCTGACGCGCGCGAGAGAGGCGGCGGAGCGCGCCGAGGAGGAGGGTGGCAGCCTGCGGCGCGCGCTGGCGCGGGGCGAGAGCCAGGTGGGGCATGCCGAGGACGAGGCTAATGCTCTCAGAGCACGAACTGGGCAGCTGGAGGCCACTTTGAACAAGCGGGCCGACGAGCTGCGCGGCGCTACGGGTGCGTGTGCGCAGGTCGTGCGTAATGGCAATCGGATGGCTGGGGCGGAGGGATTTCTGGGATTGGTCAGAACGGATGATGATGCACGGGTGCAGCCTATCTTCAATCTGTGCGCTGCTGGCTAGCCTTGGCATTGACAAAGCTGCACCGCTTTTCCCCCTGAGCAGACAATTTGGCGGCGACTCGCCTGGCTTTGGAGCGCAGCCGCACCGCGGCAGTGGATGCGGCTGCGTCGGCGGCGGCCGTGGCTCGCTCCCTGGGTCACCGCCTGCGTGACACCCAGGACCAGCTGGCCGCCAGCGATAAGGCGGGCAGAGCTCTGGACGAATCACTCAAGCTGCGGCAGCGGGAGCTGGAGGGGGCCAACGCACAGATTAAGGTGGGCTGCGGTGTGTGTGTCGAGCAGATATCGTGTCCTGGGCGATGCAGTGTGTAACCGGACAAAATGTTTCCCTGGCCTGGTTATGTGTCACTCAGCGCAACACAGGTCCTGGGTTGACAATGAAAAATACTTCAAGGCATCATTGCCGTTTGGACACACCATAATCAGGACCAATTTGTGTGCCTTCTTTGCTGCAATCGGCCCCCTCCCTCTTCTGCCCCCCAACATCCAATTCCCTGCCTCAGGCCGGCCGCGGTCACCTGAAGCAGCTGCTGTCTGACTTAGAGGGGGAGCAGGAGCGCGCCGCAGGTCTGGTGGCCGCGCTGGACGATGCGCGCGCCAAGCTTGTCTCTGCTGAGGGCTGCAAGGAGGTGGCCGAGGCCCGGCTGGTGCGCGCGCAAAAGCAGGTGGCGGTCGCGAATGAGGCGGCCGCGGAGCTGGAGGCCAAGAACAACGCCCTGGCGGCGCAGCTAAAGGTCGGTGTTGGGGGTGGGCGCTCGGGGCAGCCTGGCTGTTCGTGCCACAAACGTTTCTGGGCGATGGGCAGGGGCAGGTGCTACAGCCACCGGTAGCCACACCTTTGACCATACCCTGCTACTCAGCAGCATGCAGCAAATCGCCTGTTGTGCAATACAGGTCTGTGTGTACGCATGCTGCTGCTCTCAACCTCTTGGGCCTGGAATCCTGCTGCCCACCGCAGGACCGTGAAGCTGAGGTGGCGCAGCTGACGGATTCCCTGGAAGCATCCGTCGCGACTGCTACTGCGGCGGAGGCAGAGGGCGAGGCTCTGAGGGCGCGTGTGGTGGGCCTGGAGGCTGTCGCGGCGCAGCACACGGCGCTGGTGGAAGTGCACCGGGCCGTGGTGGAGAGGGTGGAGGCGCTGGAGGCGGCACAGCACGTGAGCGGGTGAAGGATAGGATGCATGAGTCATGCTTGCTGTGCAGGGGGTCCAGGCTCATGTGGGCCTTTGCGCACACACCCATTGCAGCCGCAAGCCTGCCTGCACACACTGAATTGCCTGCGCCCACTCTGTCAGGATGCCGAGCGGGAGCTCCGAGGCATGCAGGCGGCGGCTGACGAGCTGCAGCAGCTGCAGGCCGATACGCGTTCTCGGGCTGAGCGTCTGCAGGAGCAGCTGCGGGCCGTGGACGGCGAGCTGGCCAGCGTGCGCTCCCTGCTGGGCACCGCGGAGGTCCAGGCGGCAGAGGCGCGGCTGCTGCGCATCAGGGTGGCTGAGCTGGAGGACAGCTCACTGCGGCTTCAGCGCGAGGTGTGGGGGCTGTGGTGCAAGTGGGACGGCTGGTATGCGGCTCTCGATTCTGAGGAGGTGGTACGGGGTCCCACATGTGGTGCAGCATGATGCTCATGGCTTGACTGGCCGCCCCACCTCAATCCGCCCATTGCCGCCCCGTGCCGCCCGTATCGGCGGGTGACTCCGTGCAGCTGGGCGAGGCGTGTGAGTCTGGCAGCGGCGCGGCGGCGCTGGCGCGCGACCTGGCGGACGCCCTGGCGGCCACTGAGCAGCAGCTGGAGGAGGTCGAGGCTGACAGACAGGTGGGCCATCGCAACGAGCATAAACAGCAGCAAACAGCAGCACTCTCGTTGTTGGTTGTGTCTGCTGTACGCGTGCTTGATGACTCCTCCGTGGCATCACACTCCCGGCCAGGTGGTTGCGGCGCAGCGCGACAGCTGGATGGGCAGCTTCCAATCAGCGTACGGCAAGCTGCAGGTGGGTTCCGGCGAAAGCGCTGCCTGTAGCGATCACTCAGGGCCATGTCAGGCCCACTCTCAAACGGCCTGAACTTCGCAACATCGACGCCCTGTGCAGCGCTGTGCACATTCGTTGATGCTTGCACGTCTGCTGCAAAGGCACTTCCCTCCTCAACACACGGTCGTACCTGCATAACACAGGAGTGGACAGCCACCAGCGATGCGGCTCAGCGCCGCCTCTCTCAGCGCGCGTCACTGGTAGCCGGAGCCGTGGAGGCAATGGCGGCAGTGGGGGAGGGCGCGCAGCCCTGGGTGGCACGGGGCGCCACGGCTGAGGCAGGAGGCAGTGACAGCCTAATGGCAGCTGGGCGTGCAGTGGCAGAACAGATGGCTGGTCTGCAGCAATTGATGGCGGTGGAGGCGGGCAAGCACCGCACTGGCTTTGACGAGGCCCTGCAGGTACGAGAGTGGTGGCAAGAAATGCAGAAGGTTTTGCGACGTTCAATCGACGGCTTTGGTTGCGAACTTCGCGCCACGCAAATAGATTGGGGGGATAAACAAGGATCTAGGGTGGCATTGACTTTGGCGCCCATCACAGCCGCCTCCAATGACAAGGCTGCTTTTGACCTGCTCTCTCCCCCTACATCCTGCTACACAGGCACTGTCCGAGGAAGTGGAGGAGCGGCACCGTGCGTCGCAATCCTGGTGGCAGCAGGCCGCGATTAGCCGGCCTGCTGGCCGTGGAAAGGGGCAGCAGGCAAAAGCAGCTGCTGCCAGGGCGGTAGATGCGACAGGTCAGAGGCGCAGCCTGCTGGGCCGCAGCTTGCTGGGCATCGGCCAGGCCATTACAGGCCAGTCGGTGGACGGGCACGCTGACTCCGGCTGGGCGTCTGACAGCTCGTCGTCAGGCCAGGGCATTGCACCAGCAGGACCAGCAGCCGGTCCAGCAACAGCGATGCCGGTGGAAACAATCGGCATGCATCGGCATTCCATCACGCTTGCAGGCAACAGCAGCAATGGTTTATCAGCTGAGTTGTCAGCCACTGCAGCTGATGCACCTGGCGCATGCCCACCAGGCCAAATCTCGCCGACAGTAGGGATTGTTGCTGCAGCCGCAGCAGCCGCAGCGACAGCAGCATCGGAGCTGGCTGAAGGCGGTGCGCCGCGGCCGCCCCGTCAGCTCAAGTCCGCAAGGCGCTCTGCCAGGCAGACGGCGGGCGCACAAGGCTCCGCCGCTGCCGTGCTGGACGAAGCAGGCCCTTGTGCTGCTGGCACCGCCTCAGAGCACTGCAGCGGCAAGACCCATTTTGCAGCAGGACACAACAACAGCCATCGGCAACACGACGCAAGAGGTGACAGCACTTCTGGAGCCTGCAGTAATAGACAGTCTGACGAGGGTGCTGGCATAGGTTTCAACATATCAGCAGTCAGCAGGGCCGGTGTGCTAGATGCACCAGCTTGCGCGCGAGAGGCGGACGACCCTGCAGCAATTGATCCCAGCAACATCAGCAGCGGCGGCAGCAGCGCCAGTGTCAGCGAAGGCCGCAGCTGCTGCAGCAGCGACAGTGGCAGCGATGGCGCAAGCGATTGCAGGAGCAATTGCAACACTGCCGGGCCGGTGGGGGTGCAAACAATTGCGCCGCGACCAGCGATTGGCGGAGCGACCGGCAGCACTCCGCAGGGTTCGCAATGCAAAGCCGCAGGGTTCGAGGGCCGATCAGCGGCCGGAGCCGCGGCTGCGGCCAGCACTGCAACAGTGCCAGAGGAAACGCAGTCCAACAGTGTGGGGTTGAGGGCAGTGGCAGCACCAGCTGACAACGCCACCCACAGTGAGTCTCTGGTGGAAGTTGGGCCGGCAACGGCACTTGAAGACTCTTTGGAGGCACTTGGGAGTGCAGGCCGTGCCAACCAGAAAGGTGATGAGCTGCAGGAAGAGGGGAGGGTGAAGCAGCGGCGACGCCACCATCGTGTCCGCCAGCACCGTCATGGGCACCATCACCAGCAGGAGCGGGAGCAGCAGCGGCGGCAACAGCAGGAGCCGTCTCAGCCCGCAGCTTGCCCTCCTCACCCAGGTGCTGAGCTGGCGCCTTCAGCAGAGGGAGATGGATTCGATTCGGCATGCTGTCCTGGCAGCGCAGCCTCGTCAGCACCCTCTCAGGAAAGAGCAGCGGGGGCGCCGGTGGCCTCAACAGCAGCAGCAGCGGCAGCAGCGGCCGCGGGCAGTGAGGGGCCGTGCGACACTACGCTGCTGAAAGCGACATCCATCAGCACACAGCCGGGACCAGGAACCGCGTCACCTAATCTCAGGTCACGCATTACACAACCAGCAACGGCGAGCAGCGGCGGCCCTTCAATCCTCACCCCTGACAATTTTGGCACTGCAGCCAGGCAAGCACAGGCTGCAGGGCCGCCAGTGTTGCCAGCGCCAGGTGCTGAGGCGTTGCCAGATCCTGCAGGCTGTTCTGGCACCAGTGATAATGACATCGGCTCAGCCTTGGGCAGTGGTGCGGCAGCCTCGCTCACGAGCCCGCAGGGTATAGCGCCAGAGGGACATCAGCGCAATCACCATCAACGCGATGGCCAGCAGCAGCAGCAACAGCAGCACCAGCAGCAGCAGCACCAGCAGCACAAGCAGCAGCACCAGCAGCAGCAGAAGCAGTCATTGCCTGATGACAGCGTTGATGCACACAGTCGCACTAGCTGCTTCTGGGGTAGCGGCAGGGAATGGAGCATTGCTGGGGAAGGCCAGCAGCCCGCCGCGCCGCTGCCGGACCTTCTGCCTCCGGGCGCGGCCACTGGCTCTGCACCACCCCAGTCCTCTCCTGGGGGGCTTGCGGGCTTTGTGGCCCTGCAGGCCTACCAGGCCCAGATTCAGGCGGTCGCTGCGCTGCATGGCCAGGTGGGCTCCCTGGTGGTGCAGCTGCGCGAGGCACACGCAGACGCGGACGGCGCCAGCGCCCTGCTGCAGCAGGAGCGCAAGGAGGCGTCGTCGCGTGCAGTGGCTCTGAAGAGCCAGCTGGTGGAGGTCAAGGGGGCCCTGGCAGAGCTGTCTGGGGACCACGAGGTGCTGCGGCAGGCGCACGCCGCTCTGGTGGCGAAGGACCTCCTGGCCACTGGCCTGCTGAGGGACAGGTGGGAGCGCACGGGGAGGAAAGGGCGCAGCGTGCCGGCGCACCTGTAGCACCCTGGTGAAAAGCTAGCCGGCTGCGCGGCGCACCCCTGTGGCGCCCCCTTTTGAAAGCAGGCCTCACGTGCAGCCGCCCCTGCTCACTGCGCCGACAGGTACGTGGCGGACCTGTTTGGGCGCTTGCAGAGGGCTGAGTGGGCGCTAGCCACGGCCCGACGCCGCGCAGCCACCTGGGGCTTTGGCCTGCTGGTGCCACTTGGCCGCTGCGATCGCGGCATTCAGACCCACCCTGGAGAAGTGTGGGGCGCGGAGCAACTGCGGCTCAAAAGCAGCGCAGCAGGGCCGCCTGACACACAGCCTGCCGGCACCACCAGTTCCCGACCTGGCAGCGGCGGCGCTGGTGTCGCCACGTCGCTGCCGTCTCTCACGCCACGGGGCCGCTCGGCATCAGCAGGGGCGGCCACAACCAGTGCGGCAGCCGCCGTCCCCTTGGCTGCCATGTCAGCCAGCACCCTGAGTGCAGCATTATCAGAGGTGCCAGGCCTGGGAGCAGGCAGCAACGGACCACCAGTTGCAGCCAGCGGCACGGTCACCCGCGTGCGGCCAGCATTCGTCGACCATTCAGGCGGGCTCCTACCGCCCTGCGGCGCAGTGGCGCGCGTCACCATGCCCAGCAACAACGCAAAGCGGCGGCAAGACCAGAGCCGGCATGCGGGCAGCACCGCTGAAGCTGCTGTCGTGAGTGCTGCCTCAGGCATTGACAAGGCCCTCAGCGACTGGCGGGTGGCGGCGGCGAGGCAGCTGATCGCCCTCCGTTCCGAGGAGCCAGGCGGCGCCGATCAGCGGGCACCGCCGCCTCCCAAGGGCGATGCTGCATCTACCGGTGGTGCCCCCGCGAGTGCAGCCAGCAGGGCCGGCGCTGCGGTGCTGGGCTTGCCAGTCCTGCCGGCTCCTGTGCTGCTGAGCCTGGTCGCGGAGATCCTGGCCGCCAAGGCGGGCGCCGACGCAGCTGCGATGCGGTCTGGCAGCAGAGCCGGGCCAGCCTCGGCAGACCTTGCTGCATTCGTCATGACCCATGTCAGCAAGCGAAATGGCGGCGGCGGCAGCGTTGGGGGCAGTGGCGGGCGCGTGCACGCGGCGCTGGCGCAGCTGGTGGCCAGCGTGAGGGTGCATGCGGCGGCATGCAGGGATGTGGCGCGATTTGGCCAGGCCCTGGGGGTCCTGGGGCCCCTGGAGGAGCTGGCAGCTGCAGGGGCCGGGGCAGGGGGACGCCTGACAGGAGAAGCTGGGCCGCACGCCACTGCAGCAGGCAGCCCGTCAGGCGGCGGCCAAGACGCGGGGACGGGGGCGGACACGGCTGCGGAGGCGCTGCTCTCGCCGCTGCCGCTGCCGCCCGCAGGCCGTAGGCCCCGGAAGGTCCGGTTCCGCAGCCTGCCGCAGGATGCGCTCCTGCCGACGCGGCTGGCGGGCCTGGTGGAGCGCCTGGCGGCAGCGCCGGGCGTCAGTTCCCTGCTGCCCTGGGTGGCGGGGGGCGCGTTCCTGGGGCACCTGGGCCGCGGCCAGGAGCTGGGGCGGCCCCTGGCGGACGTTCAGGTGCGGCTGAGTGGGGACCCTGGGGCGCGCAGACCGCGGATTGTTTTGCCCCAACTGCACAGGCCTGTTGACTCGAACCCGCAGAGGTGCTCCTTGTATTTACACAGTCCCTGCACGGCCGTTCCCCCTTTCTTTCCCTTTATCCCGCATGCCGCGCCCAAAGGCCCCTGAGCTGCACCTGCTGCTGCTGGAGGCCTGCGACGTCCTGGGCCTGGGCCAGCCCCCGCGTGTGCACCTGCTGCCGGGAGACTCGCCACACATACACCTGCTGACAGTGCCCGAGGCGTGGGCGGCTGCGCCCCCGGGTGGGGCTGCCAGCGGCGGAGGCGTGTTCTCCTGGCGGCGGCAGGGGCTGCTGGTGGTGACGCGGGGGGCGCTGCAGGGGCTGAGCCCCGCTGAGCTGCAGGCCGCGCTCGGGGCTGCGCTGGCCCCTTTGTGCCTACCTGGTGAGCGTGATTCCGGCAATCAGCCGGCTGTGGCAGGGATGAGTGGTGTTGCAGGCGAGCGCGCGCACGCACACGCACATGCACACACACACACACACACACACACACGCACACAAACACACACACACACACACACACACACACAACACACACACACAC